ATATATCATGAATGGTAATATTTCGTTAATATATCAATGATACGTTAATATAAGTTTATCTCCATTTTTTAATATTTGAGATATTTAAAAGTGTAAAATAAAAATTTAAATTGTTGGATTCGAGTTTCTTTTATGGCTTCTCTTTTACATTTACAAAATTTTAGTTTTCCAAGTTTTGAAAAGGTTTCATTTCCAAGATTTCGGCACAGTTTTTAAAAGTGTATTCTCCTTTCTCATCTCTTTTTTTTTTCTTAAGAAAATATTTAACTTTTGGTTTTGTTTTGTACAATTAGCTCTAAGAATATTGGTCAAATTTTCATTTACAATGTAAGGTTGCGCAGAAAAAATAATCTATTTCATTATGATTATTGATCATTTGTACAATTGAACTCAAGCAAAGAGATACTACTCCTAAACACTCTTGTGTGTTCAAAAACTATTGATCCAACAATCACTACTGTCATGGAAGACACCATTGCCCAAGTGACAGCATTTGCAACAGAGAATGTGACTGTTTCTACAGCACATCCAACAGATATCATTGCCCCAGCAACATTTGAGTCTCTTTTACCAGAGATTGCTCAAGCCGTATTAGTCACTACTCCCAGTAACTCTCTTGCACGCTCCACTGGCCAAAAGGAAAGTGGAAAAATTATTGAACCTGATTTTGGTTCTAATAAGTTCTCATCATTAATCTCTTTGGAAGAAGACTGAGGATTCCTCAGATTCAGACAAAGAAATTGACTTGATGGATCTTCTGACACCTTCAAACAAAATAATTTTGCATGAAAGACCGGTTAAACTTTCAGCAAAAGCTAAAAAGATGCAACCGGCAAATTGTGGGCGAGGTAATCGCGGATGTGGAACCCGAGGTGGGCTCGACTAGTAGATCGAAACGGAAGATTCGATTGTATCTAATACTTCTTTAGTACTCAACGCGTTATCTTACTTTGTAATGCTTTCTAAAACGCTGCATGATTACGAGTCATGGCTTGTAACGGGTTTCATCATATAAAATATGTTTTGGTGAACAAAAAAAGAGAAGGTTCATCGCTGGTACTTTCGAAGAAAACTCTCCTTAAAAAGACACGTTACAATAATTGCAAAAAAACGTATTTAAAAAAAAGAAAAAAAAATTTAACATTCATTTAAAAAAAATGACATAGTGGATGATTAGTTCGACTGTATCTGTAAATTAGTTGTTGTAGAATTTAA